CCCCCCCGAGCACCGCCGGCCGAGCCGCCCGGGCCCGGCACCGCCGGCCAGGACCCCCGAGCCGCCGACCGCATGTCCGATTTTCCCGGACATGTCCGGGAAAATCCGGACGTATGGTAACCCTACTGTTAGGAGAGTGTTTGAACTTGTAGAAAAGCTTATGTGGAGATGGTCTTTATAACTACAACGTGAAACAAGAGCTCCAGGCAACAGAGACCGCACCAGGTACCTTTCTCTGGAGTTCAGTGGAGACTTAACTTTTGGCTCTTATTGGAGGGAAATGACCTTTGAGAGAAATGCTATGGGCCAGCTCCCCAGCTGGTGTCAATAAGCAAGCATAGTTCCACAGAAGTCAATGAAGCTACGCTGGTTCACACCAGCTCACACCATCTGAAGATCTAGCCTGTTTCACACATAGCTGGGTCACTTTTACAGCTCTTTTGAGACAGCCCAGCTGCTATCCAAGCTGTCAATTCACTTGGTACCAGAGGAGAGGTTGAGATTTACCCCTCCCACCACTGCCTATTTTTTAGGTTTTTTGCATTTTATTGACATGACAGAGGGGGACGAAGTACATCTGTTTGACTAGAGAACTGAGGGACACTCTGATGCAGTAAGGAGTGGCTGTGACACATACATCTCTGCTTGAATGTAAGGTTTCCTTTGGGGATGAATTTCTCACCCAGCTGCAAGCTCCTATAAATCACCCAAACCACTAGCGATACTAGCCCCATCTACTGTTCCATGTCTCCGGTCTCAGGCCGAACGCAAAGTAAAACAAACCGCTGCCTTTCCAGACACCAGAGCATCATTTCCAGCAACACCCACCCTCTGCTGTAAGCAGCAGCTACCTCCTGTTCAAGTTTCTTATCTGCTATAATCAGGCTTATCAAGCAGAAGCTTATCAAGCAGAAGTGCATAGCATGAAGCAGTTACCAAACCTAAAGCAAACACTGTCCCAGGGCTGCCCGCAGAGGGTTATCATCTGAGGCCAGAGAGAGGACACTTCCTCTTTGTAGGGCTGGATAGTGCAGTGGACTCTGGGTTCCTCGCTGTGACAAGGAAATCAACCAGACAGAGGCTAGGAAGGACCACACACACACACACACACACACACACACACACACACCACCC